GCGGCAGTGGCGGGACCGGCCTGGGACTGGTCCAAAGGCCTTGGGGGGTTGCCTACTCATGCTGTAAACCAACATCTCTTCAATGTAATGTAAATGTCCACATGCAAGATATGTTACATCAATACTACACAATCCTGGTGCAGAACAGCAACATTGTACAATACCTGTCAATGACTGAGCTTCGTTGTGTAATGTTCAATACATAGCTGAAATGCAGAATTGCAATGCACAGTGTGAAGTGAAATGTGAAACTATAATGAAAAAATTCCATTCTCTTATTCCCATGTCCTAGAATACTGGTTCTCAAACCTTGGTTCTTCAGCTATTTTTGGATGTCAACTCTCAGAAGCCCCATCCAACTTGGTTAACAGTCAAAAATTCTGGGAGCTGATGTTAAAAACATGAGGAAAACCAAAGTTTGGGAGTCACTGTCCTAGAAGTAGAATAGTTTGTCTTGCCTTGTCACTTTGGGTAGATTGTTCTTCTGAGAGTTCCAAAAAAGGGTCTTAGCTGAATGAACAGGCAGAGACACAATGAGCCCAGGCCAATTTCTTGTTTCGTTTTGGACTACAACTCCCAGAATCCCCATTTCCAAACTCTGGAAAGGTAGTGAACTTCAGTAGACATCAGGTTTGGGTTCATCAGAGCATCACTTTACTGTGCTATAATGTTCAAAGATTAAATTTTTCCTGATTTGGACAAAAATGCTGGAATCACATGGAAGGGGAAACATATGGTAATTTCTCTCAAGTGCATGCTTCTCCCAGAGGTGTAGCTATTGAGGGGGAAGCACAAAAAGGGAGCACCCACCCAATAAGAATTCTTTCCTCCAGTGTTGTTTGTTTAAAAATTCATTTCTCAAATTTCTAGCGGTGCTGTAGCTTGATACTTCAGCTGAGCTTTTAGAAATCCAGTTAAGGCATCCAAATGAAAGGGCAAGCAAGGGATTGTGGCAAGCAAGGGATTGTTACCAAGGGATTGTGGACATAGCAAATAAAAGCATTTCAGATTCGAACAGTTTTCAGTGGCTCACTCTTTGTAATGTAGACATTTGGGGGCTAAAGGAAAGTTTTTACTTGGGGAGTAGAATTCTCATTTGGGATGGCAATTCCCTCATTTTCCCACACCCCTTGCTACCCTCTTGTCTTTTCTAGTGTCTTGTCAAAATCACCGAAGTAGAAACCTCCCATGTCAAATCTCTGTTCTGCACATTTTGTACCCCTCCAAAGCAGTCCCATTCTTGAACACTGCATGGATCACACCTGTACTTATTTCCTCACTCCAGGAATTTCCTGTCATTCCCTGCCATAAGTATTCAAAACTGTTATTTGCTTTGGGAAGAGATACAAGGAATATGGCCAAGCACAAAGACTTGTAGGTTTTCATTTGCAAGGAGCAAAGATTAAAGATAGGGTTGTGCTTAGGCTTTAATTTGAGTTTTTGAGTATTTCAGTCTCTTTTTGGGACAGCTGAGAATAATGGTCAGTGGAAGATTTACCCTACAAAATGAGAAGGAAGTAACTGGATGGAAAACTCCGGGACCAGCCTGGAGTATTCTGGCTCCAGAGCTGTTCCAACCTCTTCCCATTATCTGGGGTCCCTCCTTGTGACACTGGGTGACTGTTCACATGCATGTCCTGTTATTCCACCTGATGCCACTAGCACTGGCATGAGTCTCTCGCTCTGAGTTTAGAATGAGGCATCCAGTGTCAATCACATAATTGGCCACCTGACCTCAGAGCGAGAAACTTGCGGTGGTGCTGGGTGACACAGTGGGACATCTTGCAAACAGCCATAATGGAGGGCTCTGGACCTTTGGGAAGATCCAGAGCAAAAGATGAGTTTTTTTTAAAAAAATGTTTTAGGGGATGTATATGGTGAGTTTGGTGCTGAACTGAGTGGCTATCATCTGGGCATTTGCCCAAGAACTAGGTCCTGCATCATTTGGACTCATTGCCATGGGAATGAGGGAGGAAGCTATGTTTGACCCATGAAGACAGGGACACTGTGAGATTTGTGTTAGATCTAGGTGTGGTTAAGTAGTTGTTTTTTTAATTAGAATATTCTATTTATTTATTTTCTTATTTATGAGAGTCGGGGTGGTGTACTGGTTTGAGTGTTGGACTATGATTCTGGAGACCAGGGTTCAAATTCTGGTTTAGCCATGGAAACCCACTGGGTGACCTTGATCACATCATACTCTCTCAGCCTCAGAAGATGGCAATGGCAAACCTGCTCTGAAAAAAATTTGCCAAGAAAACCCAATAATAGAGTTGCCTTAGGGTCGCCATAAGTTGGAAACACTATGAAGGCACACAACAACAACAACCAAACTCTATTTATTGCTGCTTCTTTTCTTGGGCATAATTATCTAATGTCAAGGATAGCTCTTTTACCACTGAACCCACCTGTACCTATTCTCCAAGGTTGTCCAGCAGGCTTAGTTAAGGACTTCTTGAGTGTGCCCTCCTCTTTTTCTCAGCCTCTCTGTGCATCTTGTCATCTCTTATAAGCTTTGTTGCACTGAATACGAACAACAGCTGATGGGGAGAGACCTCAAAGGTATAGAAATGGCAGGTTGTGATTTCGTTAAATGGCAGTTATTCCATCCTGCCAGAGTGCTGCAGAAATGAGAGAGAATCAGCCTTGACATTTTTAGAAATGCTCCTTGCCTTTTATACCACCAAATCTAAGGCCTCTGAATGAGGTAGGCCTTCACCAAAGGCTATGGATGTGAAAAAAATATTCAAAATTATTCCAAAAACGTAGACAAAAACTTACTTCTTGTGTGTTGGAAAACCTTGCCAGGGAGAATCCTGGACTGATGGGAATCTTCACAGTTTGAGATTTATTCTTTGCAAAATTCATGCATGGCTTTTTGGCACAGAAAACAGCATTTTCTGCCCAGGAAACAGCTACTGAAATTTCAAGGCTCCCTCTTTTTAAAAAATCCAGGATGAGAAAATTTATAAGCATCTTTTCAACACTACCAGAGACTAACTAGTCTGGCACAATGGCACTTTCAAATGAAGCAAAGTTGTTACTTTTTAAAGACTACAACTCCAAGAATCCCCAAGTCACTAAGTATGTTCCCTGAAAACTTCTGGGAGTTGTAGCACAACAAGGAACATTTCTAAGTTCTGCTTTCAGCAATTCCCTAGAATCTTAGTTCTGGAAGGAAAACAAAGTGTAATGTAACGTGATTGCCAAGAACCTAACATTGTGCTTGCCTAATATAAACTGAAATGAATACATGCTGTGTTCACATGGAGGAAAAGAAATGTTCCCACCCCATTCTGCGCTGATCCATTTAGATAATGCATGGAGCCAAAATGGGTGAAATATGGGTCCAATCCATGCTCCAAGGCAATTCTCTGGAGTAAAAAGAGTCTCCATTTGCTCAGAATCAGGATGAAAACTCTGGAGAATCTCTTGAGTATGTGGACTGCATGCTTGTGTGGGGATGGAGGGAGCATCGGTGGGCAGGTGAGCTGCTGACATATTTCTGCTTAGAACTTCCAACTCCCTGCCACAGACCTTTCATTTTCAAGTCTGCCAACTAAAAGCTTCTGTCGAGGGCTGACTTTCAACAGATCGCAGTGATGGAGGCTGCTCTGCTATGTACAAAACCCTGACCCAGAATCAGGTCTACAAATGATTTAGCGTTGGTTTTCCTGCAAACATG